AAACCAAACCGGCAAAACAAACTTTTTTAACACTCGCAAAGCACACAAATGCGAACGAAAAATCAAATAAGAGAGTTCGCCGCTGTGTTAAAATTAGCTTTGGACGCCTCGTAACGTTTGACATTTTGATCAGACTGCAGAGCTAATTTTGGAGTTATTTAATTTATTTATAACTGTTTTAATAGTGGACGCAGATAACGCTGGCTTCAAGTCCAAAGCAAACACGGGTTTTATCTGTTTGTTTTAGTCATGATGTTTTGTTTTTTATTGTTTAATAAAAACATGTAAATACTTGCTTAAATTTCGTCGGATAATGAGTCCTTCTCATGTTTAGGAATAATGATAATAAAAACACGGTAAACGCAAAGCGGCGAGCTTTTCCAAGAGAATTTAATATGTTTAAATTATGTTTGTTGTGTATTTTGTGTACTTCTCATTACGCTTTGTTCGTTTTTCGAAATTGCAAATTAAATTAAAAGCACTGTTTAAAAGGTTCGTTTTCGTTATTTTATCTCGAGGTTTCTTTTGTGCGATTTTCTTATTTGGCGTCTTATGCTGAAAATATGAATAATAAATTGCGTAAATTAACCATAAAAAGAAAACAGACTTTGCAATATATTTTTGCTTATTTGGAGTTGTGTTTGTCGTTTGGTAAGGCTCAGAATTGCTTCCCCGGCAGATATAAAAATAAACCAAAAAAAATCCACAGCTCGTAGAATACGGCATTGTCCATTTCCACACTCCGTACATCGCCAACGTGATCAAATTTTGCAACCAACCCGTTTATTTTTCCGCCATAAAAACATTCAATTCTTCGGCTTCGCCGCACAAGATCAAAACATCTCCGAACTTCGTTATTTCCGATATCTCCGATCCATTCCGCTAGTTTTTACCCTTTTTCACCGCAACGTATAGAGCATCGACTCGTCCATATCTAGGTCGGGAGCTTTTCAATTGTTGCCGTTCTGCAGCAGCTGATTCGACCGTAAAACACACAGAAAAAACGTATAAATTGAAAAGAAAAGAACACGACGACGAACAATAACCTCGCTCTGTGGATGTTGAACTTCTCGGTTTAGCGTTACTCGCCCCTTCTCGCGTTTCGCGCCATTTTACACCGTCAGGGATGCCCCCGGTGATCCTGGTCTTACGCCCACTTCTGCTTCATTAAACTACCAATAAATACTAAATTACAGGTCATATAAACACGCCATTAATTAGCAAGGGAGACGACAGACGGGTGAATAATGAGGCGGGAACAACGCCCTTATGACCTCGCAACAAGACAACACCTACGACTACGGAAAATCCGATTTATGACGACGTTTATTGCGAGCGTTTATCCGTAAACGGATTAATGGGACAAGATGCAAAACCATGGGACCAGAGGTCTTCGCTGCGTCGCTGTTTTACTGCATCTAGCCGGCGGCGCTACAGTACATATCTATGGAAATTATGTAATTTGAAAACGAAGGTTTATTGGATAGAAGTTGTTGGGACGGACAGGAAATTGTAAAATGTTCCATTGAATCTGCAAACACTGAAAAATTATCAGGAATTGTCTTCTTTTCCGTGTGAGGCAGCAAAGGGGCAAAAATATACTCTATTTTTTCAAGACTGGTCAAAAATGGTTTGCTTTTTCACCAACTGAACTTTTTTTGCTTTAAACAAAATTATAATCCAAATTTCAGCGAATATAACTTTTAAATAACTGATATCTGGAATTAAAAAAATCGTGTTTTCGGGAAAAAAATAGATGATTCATGAAGCGAAAGTCCGCGTTTGAATCAGCGATATTACAGATTTTATGGAAAAAAAAAAAAAAAAAAAAAAAAATTTGCCCGTGTGATGATTATTTGATTACGACCGAAGCGGTGCGAAGCGAGTGGTTAAAAAATGAGCGTTGGGCGAAGTCTATAAATGTGTTGCATACCATGCTTTTATTCCAATTCAAATTAGAACCATAATTAGCAAATTTTCAAAAGTGCGAAGAAAATGTTTTCCGAAAATAATTGGTTGCTGCTCATTAATCTCATTAATTTCCGCTTTATTTGAGAAATTCCCGAAATATTTTCGAAATGACAAATAATCTATTCAAACTACATACCTTGATTTTATACTCAAACCGTATTTAACGAACACGAAAACGGCCGAACGCACTCAAGATGTGACTAATGAGCTCGAACACATCTTCGGCCCGTGTTTAATTAGTCCAACGTCACGGATTATGCAACTATGGTTAAACATCGCTAAACAAGGTTTTAGATACGAGACTAGAAAATAGTACATTATGTAAAAGTTTCATCTATGCCTTTAGTTTTTTATTTAAGCACCAGGAGAGCGAGAGTTTAAAAAAAAACGAGTGTCTAGAGGAATTTATACAAAGTATGCGAAAAAAGTTTTTTTTTTAAATCTGGGTTATCTAGGGTAAAAATTTAACACGAATTCATAAACCACGAGTGCAGGTTTAAATAACATTTATTCTTCAAAATTTTTGTCAGTGATTTACCATGGTTCCGATAAGCTGAAAATGACTGCAAAAGTTCATAGCATTTTGTAGTTTGAATGTTAAATTTCAAAACGTTGCACAATTTTTTTTTCCCAAAAATTTGGGCATCTAGGGTAAAAACTTAACATGGATTCATAAACCACAAATGCAGGGGTACGTTATTAGGAAAATTAAATTACATTTACTATTGTAGATTGTGGGGATGACGCCACCTCATCGTTGGTAGGAGTGATTAGACAAATTTCGGTTAGCGTTTTAGCCTCTACACGATACTCACAACATATATATAAAATTTGACGACAATCGGTCCAGTAGTTTCGGAGATTATCCGTTTAACAAAAATTATGATAGACGGAAATAGAGAACCTATTTTTTCGTTCTCTGGGGGACATGAAACGTCGAGAAAACACGAAAGTTTACGTTCGGGAAGTAAAAATAACTTCTATCAGTAAAACAATTAGTGGTGATTAATTTTAAAGACGAAAAATGAGTTACTGAGCGCTTCTTCTTCGAATTTATTTTTAATACAGTGAAGTCTCATTAATTTAGAATATGGCAATTAATTGTATACAAACTAGACATGTGTGACTAACTAATTTAAGATATTTAAGGATAATAATTAATGACAATAATATATTTTATTTAATTAAAATACTGTATTACATATAAGAAGCTTTTTTGGATGCATGATGCATACGGGCTGCTGGTAGTAATTTTCAACACTTCTTGTAGTTTAAGAATATTTACATGTAGTATGAATTCATAAAATATAGTGAAACGAAACATCTTTCCGAAAATTTTCCCAGATCAAGAAAAATTTAGAATAACCCATGGAATAACCTCCTGAATTTTCGCCGCATGTTTATAAAACACCCTGTATATCGTTCTCATCCAATCATTCATGTTTTGTAAACATATTCTTTAAGTATATTACGTACTTCAGTGGTAAAATTACGTTTACTTAATTTTTTTGTTTCTAATGTTTTTTTCTACTGAACGCTTCCAAAAATAAAATGCAGCAAAAGAAAATGACGAGTTTACTGTACATGTTCTTCAAAATAGAGTTAAAATACTTTGAGAAGGAGGTGCCAATGAAATATCGCAGTAAGCGTAAAAGCGTGCGGACTGGTCCACTTGCGAATTTAGGGGGAGAAAACTGTATTTCTTTCGTAGTTTAGTATATTTATAGTAAGTAGTTCATCAGAATTACAAAGTGGTCAAATTTTCTCGTAATATTTCCACTATAGCATTGTAACCTGCTAAACAAACTTAGTGAGAGAAGAACAAAGCTTACCTTGAAAATCATGAAAGAAGAAGACAGAGAACAAATTTTCTCGATGACTAAACGTAGTGGACAAAAGAACAGACAAAGAAAACAAAGCTTCAATTTTTCTAACAGATGCGTGCGAGTGACCGTATAAACTATGGACAGAAAACCCATATATAATAAGCAAAAAATGTTTCTTAGCCTTCTAGATGACAAGACCATTTGTTTCTCGTTCGCGATTCGAAGCAATTACTTAATTACGATCGTAACTTAAAAGTTAAAAATGAATGTTGACATTCACCCCATGACTCAACCACCGCAACACCGCCACCCCCAAGGTGCGCCTCCGCCCGTCCGATGACCTAATAACCGGTCTCGTCCGGTTCGTGCCACCCCCGGCGATGACTCACCCGCGGTGACGGCGTCCGCGTTGACAGGTGAAAATACGCGTGTTAGGGGTATTCCGTCGATTTAACAAATAAAGAATTCGCTAAAAATACTATAAGCCGCAGCCACGAATGGGTTAGGTTAAACACGTAGTGAAAACAGCTGCCCACTTTAAAACAAATATACAGGGTGTTTATCCAACTAGATTGTTTTTTAACAGTATTCAAAATGTTATTTTCTTAGAAACTGATCACTTATGATAAAAAAAATTAATGGTTTCAATGACTTGTGTTGTGACATTATCCAGAAACAATAAAAAGTGTTAAATTCAGCGATTAAAGAGTTTCAAAATAAACAATAATTTAGATGATTTATAGTAATATTACGATAATATTTATCGTATGGTCTAAATGTAGTCAAAACATACGAATCCATCAACATAAATAAGATCACACGCTGTTTAATTTCATACGAAAAATACAGATATACCACGAATGGTGAAAAATCCACTACCCCGGAATGACAAGGGTCACAGCTTAAAATTAGACCAAGATTGACTAACCCGTTGCCGCCAACGCCACTCTGCATGACAAACGAGCAACCAGCGTGAAATGAAGCCACTCCGCGAGTGTGTTTATCGTATTGTTTTCGATTAGGCCGCGGTTTATAAACCCCATTCCAGGGCCGAATTAAGCGGACAACGTCATTAGTTTGGAATTAGTCCTGTGTGTGTGATATAGCACCGAGCGCTACCGACCTCCGAAATAAATTAAATTGGCTGTAAAGCGGGACGTGGAGAGTAAACGAGGTCGTTCGGTTTAACGAGAAGACACTTACCGTATCTAATATCACCTTTACCAGCAGGTATGTTGCCGTTGGGCTCCAAGCGGTCTAGGAACTCGTCGCTGTAACCGTTGTAGGGTAGCTTGCCGTGATTGTGGTCTTCGGAGTCTTCCTTCGAGACAGCTGGAATTAAGAGATTTATCAAAAATGGACCTGTCGCGTAAACGCGCTTCCGTACCGTCGGAATCGGGGTCTTAATTTAATGTCGAGTATTCATAAAGTCGGATGTTTAGGGTTTGGGTTTTTAGTTTTCATAAAAGTGGATAGGACGAGTTACTGTTGTTAAATGAGAGTTTATGAAGCCTTAAAAATTGACTTTTATATTCTTGTTTAACGCAGGTTTCATTACGTTGGGGTTTCAAGCGGTTTTACTGGCGACGATATAGTTTATGCGGGGGTAAAAGATGTATGAATATTAATTGATTAAAAAGAATAAAAAAAGTGTTCCTGGGTAACATCATTGAATTTTGAAGCGTATTAATTGTAATTTGTAAGTCCTTTGAAGTTGTTGGATTTCCAAGAACGGAGATAATTGATTCTTAAAATAGAATCCAATCTGAATTTATTACCTCTGACGATTTGTAAAACAAATTGTGAAGATATTTCCAGCAATGTTTGCAGAAGGAAAAAACTTGAGTGAAAAATTACACCAGGCATGCTTTCGGCGTTCACCTGTATATATTCACGTAAAGCAGCGCACAACTCAAACAAAAACACTGAAAAGTTCGACACACAAAGCAAAGCTGAATTACTATCACTCCAACAACACCCACTTTTCGCCCAACTATTCAATTTCCAACAAACAATCAACCTTTCATGTTCCAATTTTCCCCCCAACGTCACAATTTGAAAAATTAATCATGCGAACGCACCATGAATGATTAACGATATAATCCACCGGATTATACACAAAAACACAGCCTCCCGCCACAATTTATCTCCAGAGACATCTTAAAACACAATTCAGGAAACCGGCAGGAGACATAAAAGCAAAACTTTCTGCTATTGCATCTCGCCCAAAGTTAGTTGTGGCGACAAAGCAAAAAGATCAGACGCGATATAGCTACAAATAGTTATTAGCTGCGTTCAAAGGAGCAAAATTTCCAGAGGAAACATTGTGTGAGACGGCGACAAATTAGTCTCGACGTGCTACTGATGAAGCCAACTAGGTGATTGTCAAACAACGAGACGACAAAACACAAAAAACCCATCTAATATAATTCAAATGTAACTTTGACAGTTTTAATTAACGGTAAGGTGGGAATTCCACAGTATGCGGTTCGGCACACCGCACGTGTGTTGATGTGCCATTGGACATACCGTGGAATTCAGTCTATATATTTTTTTAAAACGATATATCTCATGTTTTTAAAAGATAATCAGATCAGACACAAGCTTTAATGTAGAGTAGACTAAAATCTCAAGACACGACGTGATTCCCGTGCTGCCAACCCCATATCACAAAATCACCATTTGACAGATCGCTCAAATTAGCCCCACCAAGACACAGCGTCACGTCCGGGATACGTCAATTCCGCGTTTTCTCTCCAGGGCAGCCAACAAAACTCCGCTAACTCAATTTACCACACGTTTCCCTACAATTTAAAAAGTACACACTAATATTTCACAGTCGTTTCGCGTTTGCCCGAAAGTCAGACACCCGCCGGTTGATTTTATAAGGAAAAACGACACGCCACGAAAAATATAATACAGAATTGTTGGCGCGATCCTCCGGGAACCCCCTCCCATCCAGGTACACCGAGAGCTGAAAAATCATCACGATATGTCAGTGTCGCGCGTTCTTCTTCTTATCGCTCTTCTCTTGCATTATTAAACACGTCCGAATAAAAAGTACAATAAATTCCGACGATTCCCCACCTCATATTTTATTGCGGAGGTTGTTTCTTTCGGGAACGTCGGTGCGTTCTTAATTTCCGTATCCCGATTCGATATTTATGTGTGCGAGGGAGAGGCGATTTGACGGGAATAAATCCCACTTTAGGAGTTCTCGTGGAGACGTTGGCGTTTTTATTGCGACTCTGGTGGGTTTTTTAATGCAAGTACTTTGTGTTGCGGAAAGTGGACGGGTCGGTTCGCGTTTGAGTAAAGATAAATTGTTTAGATTTTGGTATTTTATTGTCGCCTCATTTTTCTTCGCGCGGTTATTATATATTGTAGTGTCGGAGACGTCTCACTCGAAATGGTGGCATTGTGTTGGGGAAGGGCTTAGTGGTTTTTATTGACTCGGTTTTGTAATGGGTGTTGAGAGCGTAGTGTGCATAATTTTTCAATAAAATAAAGAGCATGAGGCTGGTTTTGTAAATAATGGCTCTTTTGCCGTGACAGGAGTAAACGCAAATTTTCATTGTACGAGTGTCACGTATAGAATTAGAATTATTAATCATTGGAACTATTTTTGTTTTTGGTTATCAATATACTTTAGTTGTTATGGACACTGCCAAACGAGGAGTCAAAATTTTATCAATACTGTGTAATATAGGTACATATTAAGTTTATTGAGTTTCAATTTGCTTTCATATTTTAAATTTTCCAAGATTAAAAATGCCAAAAAGATCCACCAAAAAATATTTATTTAAAAGCACTTGACATCACACTAATTTTTTGCCAGGAATTTTAATGTTACCAAATTTTAATTTTTTACAATAATCCTTATGTATAAAGTTAAAAATGTGGACAATTAAAAAGCTTGGTCGAAGATTTTTCGATAGAACTTCCCTTACCCAACAGAGTCCACGGTCCACAATCGCCTAAATTAAATACTCCCGCGATCCGTACAAGTGTGGACAATATGAAATATATTTAAAGCAGATAAACAACCGGAAAAATATATTTTACAAAAAATCGAAAATCCTAAGAATCGAAATATCGAGAAAACGAACAATCAAAGATTTGAAACATCGAAATATTGAGAAATCGAAAAATCAAAAAATTTAAAAAATCAGAACACTGAAAAATCGAAAAATTGAAAAAACCGAAAAATTGAAGAATTCCCAAAATTGAAACGTTGAAAAATCGAGAAATCGAAAAGATGAAAAGTCATTCAACATTGTAAAACCGAAAAATGTTACATTTTAAAATCCAAAAAATTGAAAAACAGAAATATCGAAGACCTGAAAAATCGAAAAATCAAGAAATCTAGAACTCTAAAATTCTAATCGAACAATTTGGGAAATGAAAACATCAAAAAATCGAAAAATCTCAAATTTAAAATTCGAAAAGCTGAAAAGTCGAAAACGCGAAAAACCGAGAAATAACAAAATCCAAAATTTAAAAAATCGAAAAATCGAAACATTGAAAATTGAAATGAAACATCTAGAAATCTAAACATCAAAAAGTAAAAATCGAGAAACTTAAAAATTGAAAAAAAACTAATGAATCGAACAACTGGAAAAAAGGAAAAACGAATCGCTCAAAAAATTTGAAATTGGGAAATCGGAAACTTGAAAAATGCAAAAAGTAGAAAATTGAGAAATCGAAAACTCGAAAGGTTGAAATAATCTAGAAATTGAAGGGTCGAAATACTGAAAAATTCCAAAACTGAAAATTGAAACTTTTAGAAATCCAAAAAGGGGAAAAAGTGAAAAATTAAGTAATCGAAAAGTTGAAAAATCTAAAAATTGGAAATTTAAAAAGTCGAAAAACTGAAAAATTGAAAAATGTAAAACTTAAAAAATTGAAAAACTGAAACATTGAGAAACCGAAACGTCAAAAGATGGAGAAATCGAAACATCAAAAGATCGAGAAATCGAAAAATTGAGAAGCCCAAAAATCGAAGTTAAAATTGAAAAATTTAAATTTAATCGATAAATCGAAGAATTGAAATCTTAATAAATCGAAGAATCGAAAAAGTGAATAATCGAAACACCGAAAAATCGGAAAAATTTAAAAACCCAAAAATTGGAAAACCGAAAGAGCCAGAAATTGAAACATCAAAAAACTGAAAACCTAAAATTTAGAAATTCCAAAATTTGAAAAATAGGACTATCGAAGAATTGAATACCTACCTCGATTTTTCAGACGATTTTTCAATAGAAAAAATCTAAACATTTTTAAATCGAAAAATTAAAATATCCAAAAATTAAGAATCGAAAAATCGAGAAATCGAAATACTGAAAAGTTGAGAAATCAAGAAATGAGAAAATAAAAAATCGAATAATCGAGAAATTCAGAAGTCGAAAAATCAAAATTTAAGAAATGTCAAAAATTGACAAATTAAAAAATCAAAAAATCGAGAAATCTAAAATTTCGAGAACTGAAAAATTCAAAGTCGAAAAATTGTAAAATCGGGAAATTGAAAAATCGAAAAACTGAAAAACAAAAAGTGGAAAATTCCAAAAGTAAAATATCAAAAAAAAAAAAAATTCCCCCAAAAATCTCGATGTCTAGAATAAAAATTCAAACGGATTCATAAACCACAACTTCAAGATTGTTACTTTTTAACATTTACACAATATTTATTCGACATCAACGGATACATGTTAATTAACGATTCACCATGACCTTAAAACGTTTGCAAGATTTCAAACCAATCGATTTTGCAATTTCAAACTTAAATAATTGTAACATGTTATGCAATTTTGATTTTTTTTCCAAAAATCTGGATGACTAAGGGGCAAAAATTCAACACGGATTCATAAATCACAAATGGAAGAGTACCTTATCTCATAAAATTTAAATACAATTTGTAAATGACGTCATTGCATTGTTGATGGGCCAATTTTGGTTAGCGTTTTACCATCTCCATGATATTCCTAACATACATACAAAATTTGACAACAATCGGTGTGATAGTTTATGAAATTGTTTGTCTAATACAAATCTGGACAGAAGGCAGACATTTAAGAGAAGCGGAAACGAGAGACCTATTTTTTCATACTTTAGGGGTCATGAAACGTAGAGAAAACATGAAAAAAGCCAGTCCCCGATGGACTCGTAGCATTTATATTCACTTAATAAATTTTTCAACTGACGTCACCAATTCCTTGGAGAGCATGAGTTGATAAAATTTGGTTGGCGTTTTTTTAACGTGGAAAAAACGACTCTACTATAACATCTCCTTTACTCTACGCGATTTATTAAGAAGTTTAAGATTTAATGGATAT